GGGAATTGTATAAGAGACCAGAACCACTTATATAAATGACTATATAAATAATTCTATAAAGATGGCATCTATATTACTTTTTATTTGCCTATGTGATAAGTTATTCAGAAAAAAGATTTATACCAATGTTTTATCATGCCAATTATTGTGGTAACATAGATTTTTGGCTGTTCAAACAATGGAAAGTGAAAAAAATTTCAGAGAACGCAGGATATTTTACTAAGACATAAAAATTCAGTAGTTTTGCTCAAAAAGCATACAGCCCAAAACCAATCTGGATTATTGTATAAAAGACACCATTAATATACCAAGAAGAATAATAATGTCAGTATTATAGGAATAAAGTGTTTAAAAGTATAACAAAAAAGCATGAGAATATTGCTATTTATAATGACTTTTTCCTATCAGCTTTCACTCACCTCTGAACGGCTCTACATTTTTCATGAGCGTATTCAGCTTAACCTTTTCATCTGTAAGATAATGTACAAATGAGACCCAGCCATAATGAATCAGATCCAGGAAACATCATAGAAACTTTATATTGTAGAATGAAACATTGAAATTTAGAAACTTATCCCAATTTGTTCTATAAATGTATCCCAGATAAGCATGGAATTGAAGAATCAAATTCTAAATACGATAAATATATAACACAGAAGAAGAAATTGTAGTATAAAATACCAAATTCTATACATAGCAGTGCTAGGAAGTTATTGATTGTTTGTTTTTTAGTTTCAGGTATAAAATTTATTGATTCAACACTTTCATACATCATCCAGTGCTCATCACAAGTGCCCTCCTTCATCCCCATCACCGATTTGACCCATCCCACCACCTACCTCCCCTTTGGTGACCATCAGTTTGTTCTCTATACTTAAGAGTTTCTTGGTTTTCCTCTCTCCTTTCTTCCCCCACGATTGTTTGTTTCTTCAATTGCACATGAGTGAAATCATATGGTATTGGTCTCTCTCTGACTGATTTATTTCGCTTAGCAAAATTCTCTCTAGCTCCATCCATGTCGTTGCAAATGGCAAGATTTCATTCTTTTTTATGGCTGAGTAATATTCCATTGTATTTATATACCTTATCTTTATCCATTCATCAGTCGATGGACATTTGGGCTCTTTTCATAATTTGGCTGTTGATAATGCTGCAATAAATATGGCAGTGCATGTATCCCTTCAAATGAGTGTTTTTGTATTCTTTGGGTAAATACCAGCAGTGCTAGGAAGTTTTAAAAGCATTGCTGGACCTGTTTTCCATTTGGCTTGTTCTACTTTAGAATCCAGGAGTATTATGATGTTTGGCCACCTTATTATCACAGGATTTAAAAGCAATGTATATTGTAATATCAATGTGTTCACCTATCTAAAATATTGTAGGTGGCTACTTCCATGTGCAACCTTTACTCAGCACATTCTTCATGCTTCCAATTCCACAGCCACCAAGATTTCTAATCTTTTCTGAATCCCTCATTTAATTTGTGTAATTACTGGTTGAAAGTCCTCATTTCTAGGGTCGTATCACCCAGCTCCCTGAGGGTATCATTCATATCATAGTCTTTGAAGCCCTGCTTACCTCTCTTATACGAGGCAGTATTATTATTATTATTATTATTTTTTTATTTTTATTTTTTTAAAGATTTTATTTTTTTATTTGACAGAGAGAGAGAGAGACAGTAGAGCGGGAACACAAGCAGGGGAGAGGGTCAGAGGGAGAAGCAGGCTTCCCGCCGAGCAGGGAGCCCGATGTGGGACTCGATCCCAGGACCCTGGGATCATGACCTGAGCCGAAGGCAGACGCTTAACGACTGAGCCACCCAGGCACCCCGACGAGGCAGTATTATTTAGTAGAAAGGGCAAACGTTTGAAATTATATAAACCTATATAGGCTTCTTTAGGGCCGACACCTGCACTCTGCCACTTAGCAGCTATGTGGATTTGAGCAAGTCAATTAACTTCCATGATTGACCCTCAATTTCCACATCAGGGAAACTAAGATAACAATCTACTTTTCAGAGTTGTTGTGAGGACTATTGATAACATATTTCAAGTGCCAAGTATTGTTTGTGGTATATAGCAGGCATTTATTACTTCGTAATTATTGAGGAATGATGTCAGCATTATGGCAGCATAAGACATCCCTCCTTTTTGTCCCCCTTTTTAACAACTAAATTCAGCAACCATCCATGAACAAAAGTATCTCTGTGGGCATTGTGGGATCCAGCACCATATGCCAAGGAACCTGGTAGGAATTTGCCCATGTGGGTCTTAGGTAACAATGAGATGGACTGTACTACAGGCTGCAGAAGCAGCTGCAGCCCCCTCAGCTGTGGTTGGGAAATCCAGGAGAGTGGTGACACTCACAGTGAGAGGGCTTTGTGGAGGTCCAGCTTTCCTGAGGAGAGATTCCAGCACTCCACTGGAGCAAAACAATATGAGTTTGGATGCACTGGAGAGGGTAAAAGGAATCCTGCCAGTGCTGCCCCACCCCCAAGGCAACACAGTGCAGGGCTGCGCTAGCTGGTGACAATCTCTCCCCAGGATGGGGGGTGGGGAGGGAGAGCTGTGAGTGACTTCCTAATTACCCCAGTTGTGTGTAATACTGCTGAGAAGCGTCCAAAGTGTTGAGGTGAGGCCTCTGTGACTGGGGGAAAGGATGAGATCAGGAATAGGCAGATAATACTAAAGAGCATTAAACAATGTGGTTTCTGCTGATGGCCTTCAGGACTCAGTAGGGAAGTTTGTCCATGAACTGCTGGAACAACCTCATTTGAAGAACTCCACACCTGGCCTATTGGCCTATTGGCCTATTGGCACCTCCAACACCCATAGTGCTAAACCCCCACCCACCCTCAACTCTGCAGCAAGCGCCCTGTGCACGCTCGTGAATGTGGTGGTGAGAGTAAACAGGGAGTGCCCTCAGAAAACACTCCAGAGTCTGTGGGCAAGGGAGAAACCACAAACTTGAGCTGTAGCTCAACCTTTTGGAAAACAAAAGAGAGGTTTTCTTTCAACAGCCAGCCTGATGTGTTGTTAAGAAGCAGAGAAGACGTACATGCTTAAGAATTCTGCCAGAAGACGGAGCAAGAAGTGTAAAGCAGGTGTATCCATACAATGTTAGAGAAAGTCCCAGAAATAAACAGGACCAATGAAAAATATCTCCCTCTTGAAGAGACTCTTCAAGACAAGTAAAGATTTGGGGAAGTGATTACTTGTCTTTTCTGCCATTATATATTCTTTCTTTTAGTCTAGTTCAAATTTAGGGTGATTTAAGGGATTTTGACTTTTTTTTTTCCCCCTGATTGTAAAATTTCTTCTTTAACTTTCCTTTGTTTCATTTCTCCACCTGCTTCTTGGGTCTGTCAATCTCTCATTGGCATCTAGGAATTTAGTCCTGCAGGGGGGAGTCACTATTTTAACAGATTACTGATTTCTGATTTAAACACTAATGATCTGAGTTAATACCTTTTTTCATATGAATACCTTTGGAAGTTTTATTAGAGGAGCTCGCTCTCCCTAAAGGCACAACAACATGCTCACCATCAGTTGGCAGATGGTTACACAGGTCCTCAAGTTCCTCATCCTCCAGCTCATAACCCAAGTTTTCCAGGATGCTTTCTATTTTAGAGGTACGACACCTTCCACCTCAGGGAAGAAGGAATAGGGATAAAATATAGGAACTGATATCCAAGAAAAATACTGGCTATATTCACACACCAATGGAACAAAGCCATAGCACATTAAATAAAAAAAAAAAAACTGTGTAGGGCTACATGTGGGACATGTTCAACACATTCCACAATAGAGATTTATTGTGGAAGCCAGGAATAGAATATATTCTGCCATTCTCATCTCAGGGGTCCTTTATACAGTTTGCAGGAAAGATGTATTTAGAAAAAAATCATATGTTATATAAATTATAGGTAATTGTATTTATATAATAATTCCATATGCTACCTTTTTATATTATGAACTATATATATAATATATATATATATGGTGAACCTCATTAATTATGTTAGACAATAACTAGAGCTCTGGATAGCAAATAGATTTTGAAACCTTTTCAGTGTCAGAGAACTATAAATTATCACATTGGATGTAGCTGCATCTAAAGTAGATCTACGGCTAATGGGATAATAAAATCAATAAATTAATTATTGTATAATGATAAGGGCTTTTAAAAGTTAAGGTAAAGTCTGCAGATCTTAGTTTTACTTGCCTTTTTATTGAGATTCTCACTTACCAGGAAAAGCTTTTATATAATCGAGCAATGTATTTTTCTCTACCTTTCCATCAGCTGTGAAATAAGACACATTTAAGAAAAAAGGTTATATGGACAGTCAAAAAAAGAATAGGAAGAGCATAATTTCATAAATATATACTTTAAAAATTTCTTAAGTTCTATGCCCACATTTCCTAGGCCCACATACCTCTCCATAAGAAAAAAAATAAGATGAAGAGAAAATTCTTAATGTGCACAGTCTGACCATTCTTCTACATTGAAACAGATACTTTTTTCCCCACTCTGATTTCTCCTTTTCTGTCCTCTACTACCTACTAAAATTTAGCCTTCTTTTTCTCTTTGTCCTGATTAAGCTTCATTAACCTCAGAGTACTGATACTCTTTTTTTTTTTGAAGACTTTATTTTTTAAGTAATCTCTACACACAGTGAGGGGCTCAAAATTACAACCCTGAGATCAAGAGTCATATGTTCTACCAACTGAGCCAGCCAGGTGCCCCAGAGTAATGATACTCCTAATGGCAGGACAGAGGTTTGAAGATATCATGGCCTCTCAAAACTATAAACCTAAATGTCGAAGTCATAATTTCTTTACAACTAAAGGTTGATCTTTTTGCCTTTTAGACCAGATGGGTCCATTCTTTAGATGCTCTCACATCGAAGTTTACACTAGCACAGAGATACTCCATACATACATACACAGTGGTATATAAAATACCTACCAGTAACTGGCAACGTTTTCAACAGCCCCCAGAGCTCTCTATCTGTAAGCTCTATCCCCATGTTTCCCAGTGTTTTGTGTATGTCCTTGGCTTCAACTTTTCCTCCTTTAAAAGATAGAAATGGTAACAGATGAGAATTGCCTGCCTACTGAACCCAAATGATGAAGTGTCTAAGCCTGCACAGGGTTATCTACAGTTATCAGAAGTTATTTCTTGAGTTCTGAATAAAATACTTATTTCTAATGCTCTTAATGACCTCAGAGGCGTTAACCCAGATCATAGTCAAGGAATACATAGGAGGCAAAGTGATCTAAGTTATGTATAGGCAGCTACCTAATCTAAATTGTACTATCATTACAAAAATCTGTTACTCTTCGCTCTGCCTGACTTGTGAGATAGATTATCTTCACTGCCCACGTTATCTGTATCCCTGTCAAAGTTTCACCTTAAAATTTACTGGGTTACAGTAAATGTTAGTTAAATATTTTAAGTGAATGAACAGGTGTGTTGCCCATTGGACTGAATCACAAAATAAAAATGAAGTTTCAGAGAATATAGAACTTGTTATATAGAGAGAGCACCACAATATTTTTGCTGGAACATAAATAATCCAATGTAATCTTCATGTCATTAGGATCAAACTTTAATCATTAAAGAGCTAGAAGTTAAAGGTCAACGACAGAATAAGAAAACACAATCTTAAATATGTATGTGAATGTGAAGTATTTGCATTTTAGTTTTACATCTTTTCACAAAACATCTTGCTTACCTGTGAATTTCTTAATTTCCTTTAGCAGTTTATGCAGATCAGCCATCCCAGAAGCTAAAAAATAAGCCACAATTCAGACAGATAAAATTGTGCACTGATTGAGAAAGATTGTTAAATAGAACAAAATAATTAATTTTTTCTTTATGATTTGTTGTTGAAAACACATATGCAGATAAACAGAAAACTACTCTCTAAAAATGTTAACTATTAATTTCATTATTTATTCTGTTTTCTTTTAATATCTCAGCCTCTACACACCATGTAACATCTCCCTCCTCAGGCTTGTTCTCTTCACTTTATACCACCTACTATACCAGATTCCCAGAACAAGAGCAAAATCTTCCACTTGGAATTTTAAGTCTAGCTATTTCCCTATTTAACATTCTCCAGTACTGACACTGCCAAGTTAGCTTAGTTTTTTGAATTTTTTTCTACTAGATATGTTCATTCCATACTCAAAGATTATGAGTGCCTTTAAATGAAAAGAATGGGGGCACCTGGGTGGCTCAGTTGTTGAGCATCTGCCTTCAGCTCGGGTCGTGATCCCAGGGTCCTGGGATAGAGCCCTGCATCAGGCTCCCTCCTCAGCGGGAAGCCTGCTTCTCCCTCCCACTCCCCCTGCCTGTGTTCCCTCTCTTGCTGTGTCTCTCTCTGTCAAATAAATAAATAACAAATCTTAAAAAAAAATAAAATAAATGAAAATAATGTATGTATTCTGTATCCACCTAGACATCCTAGCCCAATAAGTAGCATAATGCTTTGCACACAGTAATACTAAACACTTTAAAATTAAACAGTGAAATGGAACATGTTAGAATAATAGAATTAAGCTCTTATATTAGGATATTTTTCCAGGATTGTAGATGCAGTATATTTTAGGGCAACACCCCCAACTTAGAAATTATGCATATTATTAGCATTTTCTTACCAAAAAATATGCGATTTATTACTATGGAATCCCATTTTTCCTTTGGGGTAGTTTCCAGTATGCCCTCTCCATACACTGAGTTTACAGATTTGCCCCTTGGGGGCTTGTGCTACATGGACAGCACAAGGTCATTTTATACAAACTTCCAGTGAACTATTAGTTAACACCTATTGATTACCATAACTGGAAAGTCCTCGTTGAAAGCCTTGAATAGTGGCTAAATAAACATATTAATTAATTCAATTTCTCATTCATTCAACAAATATTTATAGAGTATCAAATATAGGCATACATGTGCTAGGCACTGGGGGATATAGCAGTGAGCAACACAGACGTGGCTCCTGTCCTCACAGAGCCTTCATTTATTTATTACTTATTTCACTAAGCCTAAGTAAGAAGACACTTTTGATCTTTCTTTCAGCCTCTCTATCAGGACACATTTTCAGAAATCTCTTTTATTTTTTATTCTAACAAGGAAAATTTGTGCTGATTTCACAGGATCAACAGCAAGGGGATAATAGCTAATTATGTATATAATGATAATGGGAATCATTGAGGGAAGCAGAGTACTATTTATTTGATCTGGGTTTATAAATGCTTATCTTTGCTCCATATGTACATAATGCCCTCTAGCCTGAGGATTAAACCCAATAGCTTCTCACCTCTCAATTTTTAATTGGAGATCTCAGTCTGGATTTCAGTTATTTAGTTTCTTTTCTCAGAAAAAAAAAAGTAGTTTGATCAATTTGTTGGCTAGGGTAATGTTTCAAACCTTTTATTTTACTATCCACAAGTATTTATTTCCTCTTCTTCTTGGAAGCTTCAATAAAATGAAAGTAATAAAAATATAATCACTCACACAAAAAAATAACAACAATATAGGAGAGGAGATACCAGTGAACAAGAAACTTCACAAATATTTAGAAATTAGAAAGCAAGTAAGGTAGTGGTAACTAATTTAGCAGAGCTGAGTAAAGGAAATTATAACATGAAAACTTATGAGTGGTTAGTAATGAAATGTCATAATTGAAATGTCTCTGACAGGTAGTAAACTCAAGTGAATAGGAAGTAAAGGAAATCCTTTCTGGAGGAATGCATTTCATTTTAGGTATCAAAGAATTCTCACGGTAATTTTTCAGTGACATTGAACAGCATATAGGAAATAACCAAACACACAGGGAAATAAGGACACTGTAAATGAGAATCAGAAGAAATAAAAGAGAGGAAAGAAAAACCCACAATTTATTAATTGGAATTATGAGACCAAGATTATAAGATAACTATGTAAATTTGAAAATATCTGCAGAAAACTAAAAAACATGAGCCACTAGATTTGAAAGAGAACAAAGCTGAATTTCTGGAAATTGAGAATAAAAAAACAAAAGAATACATGACAAAATACAAAAAAGGATATAAACAACAGGAATACAGGAAATGAAATCAAGAGGTAAATAGCTAGATGCAATGGCAGACAAGACACAGCTGAAGAGTGAGTGTACTGGATGCAAAACCATCCAGAATGACCCACAGGAAGAAAAATACAGAAAATATTGAAGAGGGGTTAAGTGTCACAGAGGATGGAGGAAAAAGGTTTAATATACATTTAATTGGAAGTCTACAGAAAAAAAAGGACTATGCGATAGAGACAATATTGGAAGAGACAGCAGCTGAGAATTTTCCAGATCTGATGAAAGAGTCCAATTCTCAGACTCAAGAGTCCCAGAGAACCCCAGGGAGAATAAGTGGAAAGAAATCCATTCCTATTTTCCACATTGTAGTGAGACTTCAGAACTAAAGAGAAATGTTTTAAAAGAAAAGAAAGATTATTCTCTAAAGACCAATAGATTCACAGCTGACTTCTCATCAGCAACATTATAAAGAAGAAGATAGTGGAATGATAACTTTAATGAGCTGAACAAAAATAAATATCCACCTAGAATTTTAAACCCAGAGAAAATATCTTTCAAAAATAAGGGTAAAATAAAGATGTTTTATGTCAAAACCCCCCACAAATCATTATTTGTCACTAGGGATCCTAAATAAAGGAAATTACTTCAAGCAGAAGAAAAGTTATCCCAAATGAAAGGTCTGAAGTAGAAGAAAGAATGAATAGCAAAGAAAAGGCAAAAGTGGGTAAATCTGAATGAATATTGGATTTATAAAACATTGCTCTAATAATATTTTGCTGAGGTAAAAGAATATGAGATAGTATTAAAAGATATGAAGGGGGCGCCTAGGTGGCTCAGTCGGTTAAGCATCTGCCTTTGGCTCAGGTCATGATCCCAGGGTCCTGGGATCGAGCCCCACATTGGGCTCCCTGCTCAGTGGGGAACCTGCTTCTCCCTCTCTCTTTGCCTGCTGCTCTGCCTACCTGTGCTCTCTCTATATCTCTCTGTCAAATAAATAAATAAAATCTTAAAAAAATAACCTATAAAAGATATGAAGCAACATTAATGTAGAAATGCAGGCACTGGTATTTTTGATGAATATGAGGAGTATATGCCTTGGTAATTAGAGTAAGAAAATTAGAATTGCTGTTTTTTAAAAAGTTCTTATTTATTTACTTGAGAGAGAGAGAGAGAGAGAGAGAAAGACAGTTCAAGCAGGGGGAGGGGGAGGGACAAGCATACTCTGTGCCCAGCACAGATTCCAATGTGGGGCTCCATCCCAAGACCCTGAGATCATGACCTGAGCCAAAACCAAGAGTCGGATGCTTAACTGGCTGAGCCACCCAGGCACCCCTAGAAGGCTATTTTTTAATATATGTATGTTATGTAATCTCTACACCCAATGTGGGGCTCAAACTTACAACTCTGATATCAAGAATTGCATGCTCATCTGACTGAGCCAGCCCGTTATTCCTAGAAAGCTATTTTATTTATTTATTTATTTATTTATTTATTTATTTATTTATTTATTTAAGATTTTATTTATTCATTTGAGACAGAGAGAGAGAGAGAGAGAGAGAGAGCATGAGCAAGGGGAAAGGCAGAGGGAGAGGCAGACTCCCCGCTGAGCAGGGAGCCAGATGTGGGGCTCAACCTCAGGACCTGGAGATCATGACCTGAGCAGAAGGCAGATGCTTAACCATCTGAGCCACCCAGGTGCCCCTTCTAGAAGGCTATTTTATTTTTTATTTTTATTTTATTTTATTATTTTTTTAAAAGATTTTAGTTACCTGACAGAGAGAGACACAGAGAGAGAGGGAACAGAAGCAGGGGGAGGGGGAGAGGGAGAAGCAGGCTTCCCACTGAGCAGGGAGCCCGATGCGGGGCTCGATCCCAGGACTCCAGGATCATGACCCAAGGCAGACGCTTAACGACTGAGCCACCCAGGCACCCCTAGAAGGCTATTTTATTTTATTTTTATGTTTTTGTAAGATTTTATTTATTTATTCATGAGAGATGGGGAGAGAGAGAGAGAGAAGCAGAGGGAGAAGCAGGCTCCCAAGGAGCAGGGAGCCCGATGCGGGACTCGATCCCAGGACCCTGAGATCATGACCTGAGCCGAAGGCAGACGCTTAACCATCTGAGCCACCCAGGCGCCCTAGAAGGCTATTTTATTTTTTATTTTATTTTAATTTTTTTTAAAGATTTATTTATTTATTTGAGAGAGCGAGAATGAGAGAGAGAGTACATGAGAGGGGTGAGGGCCAGAGGGAGAAGCAGGCTCCTCGCCGAACAGGGAGCCCGATGTGGGACTCGATCCCGGGACTCCGGGATCATGACCTGAGCCGAAGGCAGTTGCTTAACCAACTGAGCCACCCAGGCGCCCTAGAAGGCTATTTAAAGAGAAGGTAAAACATTGCTGTTTAAAAGTTCCTAGGGTAGGCCAGGAAGGAATAACGTAAGCTGTTGCCGAAACACAGGGTGAAGGGATCAGGAAGTTGGAATATTACAAATGTATAGAGGAACTGTTGGTTCACAGCCTTGAAAGCTTCCTGGGTGCAATCTAAAACTGGCCCCATAAACAGAGGGCAGAGAGAGACCAAAGAATGAGGCCGAGCACTCCAGATTGGCAGATGGCAGATTTAAGAAGCAAGGGAACTTACATACACAGCTTCTCCTGGGTGGCCAGATGAAGAGTAGATCTCTGCATCTACCCTCCTGAATCTTAAAAGTTATAGAGGCCTTAACTGGGTTCAGTCTTGTACACTGTCCAGATGCCTTCAAAACGCATTGCTCCCTCAAGACTGCATCCTTGAACATGGCTCCCACTGTAAGAATGGTGGGCAGAGCGTATATTCTGGGGACAGGGGAGGAAGCGAGGAGCCTCGGGTTGCCTGTGTCCGGCTCTAGGGTCAACCAGTAGTCACACTCTTTTGATTACCTCCTCCCAACAGGAATGTATAGTTGGGTGACGAGACTTTTTTTTTTTTTTAATCTTTTTCAAGTTTTTATTTAAATTCCAGGTAGTTAACATACTGTATAATACTAGTTTCAGGTGTAGAATTTAGTGATTCATCACCTTAATACAACATCCAGTGCTCATCACAACAAGTGCCCTCCTTCATACCCATCGCCCATTTAACCCATCCTCCTGTTCATTTCCCTCCATCAACCCTCAGTTTGTTTTCTATAGTTAAGAGTCTGTTTTACGGTTTCCCTCTCTTTTTTTCCTCTGTGTTCATCTGTTTTGTTCCTTAAATTCCACATATGTAAAAATCATATGGTATTTGGGTGACAAGACTTTTAAAAGATTTAAATCATGTAGTTAATCTGAAATTAGCAACCTGTTCTCTGCGGGTAATATGCCCTCTTTCAGCTTCTTTCAAGTACATATTTATCACCTATAACTCACTCTAGCACATGTACCATGCACCTTGAGACTAAAGAAAATACACTGAATCAAAATACTCTTTTATGTTTAAAGAGTTAAAAAGACTTAAAAAGTCATATTAGCATCCAAACAGATCTAGTTCCAGGAATTCTCAGATGTAAGCTTATAAATCTAAATCTCCCTTAAAAGGTCTCTAATATCTATGATGCTCACCATCAGTTGGTAGGTTTTGTGACAAATCTTTAAGCTTCTCATCTGGGAGCTTGATTTTCATGTTTTCTAAAATGTCTTCCAGGTTACTGACATCAAACTTCCCACCTAAAGAAAGAATCAGGCACACAAGAGAAATTTAATGATTTTCCTGAAGGAGAAAATTTCAATGAATCCCCACACACCATGGCTAGCAGCAAAAATATCAATGACACAACACATTCAAGTGTCCACAAAGGTGGACAAAATGAAATTAGAATTGTAACCTCTTCCTTGGTCTTGAGGACAATCCTACAAAGTACAAATTCATTATCCAGTGAATTGCAATGGGAGAGACACAAACTGAAAATTTTTTTCTGGTAGGTGGGGCATAAATGCTCAGTTTAGTTCTTCAAGTCACTGAAATGCCTTGAACAACTGCCAATTCTTTACCTCACATTTTCTATGTGGACCCAGATTTAAATATGCTCTTAAACTAAATTTGACAAAAACCAAACTCACTAAGCAGCAAAATGAAAGATTTTGAACAAGGCAGCTCTATTCAAAATAGCAAAATCAGTTCAGATAAGAGGTGGTAAGATCCACAAGAGAACAGCTAAATGATACTACAAATACGACGCAGGAGAATCTTCTTTATCTTTCTTTTCATTATGTTACTTACGATTGAAAGATTTCACACCATCTAGCAATCTATTTTTGTATACATTTCCATAATCTGTAAGAAAAGGCAAAATTGCCATCACAGATAAAGTGATATAGCTATTTAAAGAGACAGAACAAATGTATCATTTCATAAAGATACTTTTAAATGATTTGTCTTAGAGATAACTTTGATTTTTACCCTCCAATGAATCTGCAACCATAGAATGAGAAAACTTACAGAGTGCTGTGTCTGACCAAGTGCAAAGCCAGTAATTGGTGGCAAATGACACAATGGAATATGAACACATCTTTCTTTCACTTTCTTTGACTTTTCCTTCTTTCTCCTACTCCTTTGTACTCCTCCCGCCCTTACTTTTCCTTACATCTCTCAGCTTAACTTTTAGTTTTGAAGGCAACAACAATATAGCTGAAAATTTTACATCCAAAGGCAGGATCCAAGAAAACAGAGTTGCTGATTCCCAAAGAAAGAACCAAATTACACTTTCCAAAGGAAGAACAAGGCGATGCTAAAATTTCTTAGACATTCTTTTTGTTGTTGTTTTAAAATTAGCATATGTAATAAATACAGCTTTTTTTTTTAAGTTGTCTTAAACACACAGGACCAACCTCCCTTGAAAACTCTAATAGTATTTGAAATGCTTACCATCAACTTGAAGATTTTTTACCAGTTCCAGGTATTCTTTAGGTGTGAACTCTATCCCAATGTCTTCCAAAATATTTTTCAGATCTTTGACATTAACTTTTTCTCCTTTAAAAAAGAGAAATGGCAAGTAAAGTTGATAATATTATTTAAGTATCTAAGTATTATTAAGTATTCAAGTATTCTAATTATCTAAGTATTCAAAAATATGAAATAAAATTGTCCACATTTATACATCACCATCCCTGGCTGCTAGATACAAAACAAAGGTATAGTAAGACCTGCCCAGTGGAGTAAAGGGCAGGCGGAGAATTAGAACTTATTCCCTTGATCCTAGGGAAAGATGCACTTTCATAACATTGGGGCTAAGACAGCATAAGTCTCAGTAAACTGTGGATTTAGGCAATTGTTTTGTAAATTAGAATGTAAAGATTAACCTAATATCGCTCTCCACTTTTCCTAAAATTATTAGATTATTTAGCCAATATCCTAATTTTTACTTCAACTATTATTGTGATAATCTAGATCAAGGATTAGCAAACTTTTTCTGTAAAGAGCCAGATAGTAAATATTTTAGAATTTGCAGGATATAGATCCTCTGTTGCAGCTACTCAACTCTGCTATTACAGCACAAAAGCAGCCATTAATAATACATAAATGAAGAATATGACCGTGTTCCAATAAAATTTTATTTTTTAAAAGGGTCAAAGGACTAGATTTGGTGTGTGGCCAGTAGTTTATCCTTGATACAGATTTTCAGTTTTTTCAGTGGTGAAGATCAGAAGCATTATTATTGATAAGTATTTTAGAGGATATAGGACTTGTTATGGAGAAATGAGAAAAAATTTTTAATATGGGTAACCCAAAAACTGACTCTGGACAATTAGACACAAGCACTTGTAACAACACCCTTGTAACCAACATTTATGTGAGAAATAGAACACTGATAACACTCTGGGGGTCTCTCATAGTCTTTTCCAATCCCTATCCACAATCTCTCTGTAGAAGGTTATCATGATCCTGACTTTTTGGACAATGATTTCTTGCTTTTTTAAATATATTTCTCACATTATTAGGGTTAGGGAACACTGCACATCACTTACAAAAGCATTTTTATAGAGGCAAATGAAACAAAATGAAAGATTATGCTGTTATACAGGTAATAAAATTACGATTTTTTAGAAGAATAGGCAATATAAAATTCAGGAGAGTGTTATCTCAAAAAGTGGGGAGGCATGGTAAAGGGATAGGGAAGCAACCATGTGTTGATGCAATTATATTGGAAATATTCTAGTTATTTTGTTGAGGGGGAATCATGGAAATTAGTACTATGCTTATGGATTTATGTGTTCATTGAAAAGACAAGATGGGAAAATGTCATTAAAGAATTAGAATTTTAATCTTATTGATAACTTTTAACTTGCCTGTAACTGCTGTCACATCACTCATCACTTTTTTCAGAGAAACATTTCCATCAGCTGTAAGACAAAAAAAAAATTCAGACAATGACACAAGACAGGAAAGTTGTGATGTAGGGCCCAATGAAAGTCCATATATTCTATTAAATACTTTGTGTTCACCTTAAATCTATATTTCCTGGTTTGAGTGCTTGGTTCCTTATTAGTAAGAAGGACAGTGGCATTTGGCCCATGTCCCTTGAACACAGGGTCTGACTATGACAAATGTATTATCTTCAGTTCTTAGGTCTTCAGTACTTTCTTATGAGCATGGCAAAAGATATCATCCATAAAGGTCAATTCATTTTGTTTTGTTTGTTTTTGGTGAACCTTACATCTAGCACAGATACTAAGCAAGGGGCTTCACATCTTCCATCTATTCGCAATAAGGCTTCTCAAGTGTTTCAGCTCCTGTATCTATCTCAAAATGGTGGTGACATGGGCTTATTGGATATTTGAGGAAATATTAATGATGTTCTACTAGTTCCTATTATGGATATTTTTCTCTCAGTTATTTCAGGCTCTCTTGGTTAGGTATTCATTCATTTCCCCCACTGCCCCCATATTTGTTTCTCTCTACCACTCTCTGGCATGCTATCAGCTGTGAATATCCTCTCAGCAGTAATCACTGTTGATTAGGGTGATAATTTCAGATGAACTGAGGTGAAAAAAGACAGGATTTCTTTTTACTTTAAGACCAAGTTCTTCTCCATGAATCTTAAAAATATCTTAAACTCCTCAAATCCATCTAGTTTTAGAAATTCTTACATATGGGGGCGGCTGGGTGGCTCAGTCGTTAAGCATCTGCCTTCGGCTCAGGTCATGATCCCAGGGTCCTGGGATCGAGTCCCACATCGGGCTCCTGCTCGGTAGGAAGCCTGCTTCTCCCTCTCCTACTCCCCCTGCTTGTGTTCCCTCTCTTGCTATCTCTCTCTGTCAAATAAATAAATAAAATCTTAAAAAAAAAAGAAATTCTTACATATGATCCCAAGATTCTAAGCTCTCCCCCAAAAAGGCAAAACAATTTTTTACAATGCTCACCATCCATAGGTTGATTTTGTATCACACTTTTAAGTTCCTTATTTTTGAGCTTGATCCCCATGTTCCCCAGAACTGTGTTCAGGTTGTTGACATCAATCTTTCCTCCTTAGAAAGGGATGGAGATGTAAGAAAAAAACCAATAAAGACACAATATGAAAAAAATTTCTTGTGCTGATGAGTTAATTCAATTCTCAATAGGCCTGGATGCTGGTTACAGTGTTAACTGGAATTACCTTATTGGAAAGTGGTTTGGCAACAACTATCATGATTCTTTAAAATGTTCATAACTCTTAGCCCACTAATTCCACTTTTGGGAATGCAGAAAAAGCTATGCCAAAGGGGAGAGGGAAATTTTCATTATAATCTTACTTGTAATAAAGAAGGAAGGAAGGAAGGAAAAGAAGAAAGAAAAAGAAAGAAAGAAAGAAAGAAAGAAAGAAAGAAAGAAAGAAAGAAAGAAAGAAAGAAAGAAAGAAA